TAGAGCGGATTTCGTATGAGTGGGACACCGTTACCGCACGGTTACCGCACAGTTACCGGACCTGGCCTGCAAAATTTTGGTGAACCAATGGGGCACTAGAATTTGGTTACAGTACGATTACGGTCACAGTACAGTACCGTCGGTTTCCCACTCATACGAATTCCGCTCTATATGTAGTAATCACAGGCAATGCATGATCCTACAACGTCAACTCGTCAGCCGCTTTTGCTGCGTAAAACGTTGGATTTTCTTTCAATAATTTATTGATTGAATGACGGAATAGCTTGTACCATGACTGCGTTACAACCTGGATATTTGTAATTCTAAAAATGTATGACTGTTTCGCTGTAAAAGAACTCATTCGCTGTAAAAGAAAAGAACTCAAACGGCGGTTTTAGCACGACATTTAATTCCCTTTTCACGAAGTTGTTTCTTAAAACAATGACAAAAAACAATAATTACAACATTTGCCTAATTTAGAAGTAGAAGCCTAAAATTATGTGATATTCCTTGAGAAAGATGGATATTTATTTTCAATTATTATTGATTCAGCGGTTTGCTCAAGTGAGAGCCTCGATGTCGACTTCAAGGGCGGCGCATGGCAAGTTAAGGTCAAATTTAGCGATGACGTCAGGATGTAGAACTCCCATGATTCCAACGGGTTTACCATTGACGAATATYTGACCACAGCGACCAGGGAAGAATGTGGGATCTATATTTCAAGGTAAAGAAAATAGAATTTAATAAGCTCTTTCCACGAGTGACGTCATGCTTGATTTGGTGAAATGCATCATGGTTATGATGCCTAATGCTACGGAAAAAGAAAGTTTCTTTGCGCTATTAGCTTCTTTGAAAATCATTAAATAAGATGGCAGAACACCAAAGTATACTCAAAGACCTGTCTAAGAAAATAGGCAAGCTTTGTTGAGGCGTCCTGACACACAACAATGTTCAACTACTTTCGTCAATCCAAATCTCGCCCAGAGCAAGCACTTTTACCATCCAGAGAAAGTGAGACCGCTGAGATTAGCCGTGAAGACTGGGCTCAAGATTGCATGATCAGAAACTCGCCGAGAGAAAGGAAGAATTGAAGAACAAATGAAAGAATGACTGACTACTGAGATCTGGCAAATCTCACACCCAGAACAAACAATTTTACCATCCAGAGAAAGTCAGACCGCTGAGATTAGCCGTGAAGACTGGGCTCGATACTGCATGATCAGAAACGGGAGAGCCTACGTAGCACTCAGTTGATGTAATATATTCATAAAGATATAATACAAAACACATAATACAATAGAACGAGAAACAATGGAATACAATACATTTTATGAATACATTACATCAACTGCGTGCTACGTAGGTCACCCCGATCAGAAACTCGCCGAGAGAAAGGAAGAATTGAAGAACAAATTAATGAAAGAATGACTGACTACCGAGAAATATAAATATTCACCGTCGTGTGGTCTGAGATGATAGCCTTCGTTAGGGTCAGCGGTTTTGTCCACCGTTGGTTTGATTTCCAATAACTGCATTGTACGATCCAACAAACCGTGAATTACCTAATTAAATAATATCAAAATAATGAATAATACCATGACAAATGAAACGCACTAGCATTGTAATACTGATTCGATAAAATCTCACCTCAAAACCTGGTGTCTTGTTGTAGTTCACWGCGCAAAGGCGTCGATTGTTACGCGCTCCGACATCTAAACAACACAACACAAGAAACAATTATGATGAATGAAGTACAAGATGTGAACGAAACAAAAAACGTGATTCTACTAAATAACTGTAGGCAGTTTCATATTCTGTTTCATAGAAATACACAGAAAATACCTTTTACGTCATCCTTATGAACTACATCGGACATCTCGAACAGCTTTATGGGTAATGGCATCTTTTTATTGCAGCTGACAGTCTTCAGCAGTCCTGGCAACAGCGTTGTCCTAGCAACCTGAGAAATAATTTACAAGTATATACTTTTATAATTGAAAAAATGTTTGATGGCGTTCGGTGGTGAAAAATTATTCTAGGTTGTCTCAACATTGACTTAGTTGTCTGATAAAAGTGTCAATACTATTTTGACTCTGCAGGCAGAAGAAAACGTTTGTCATCAAACATTTGTCTCGTCCGACATTACTTCCCAAAGGAAATTGACAGTTAAATTGTTACACGTCACAAGTACGACCACCTGATCATTTGGTCCCACGATGGGCGCGACATGTTTACAGCTCATTTACGCCTCATTGGGTGAAAGTACTTTCTACCTGGAATAGTTTTCCGTACCTGGAATTCGAGAGTCTTTGGGTTACTGATGTGAACGGCACGAGTCTCACTCAGAGGTTTCTTGAGTTTCTCTGAAATATCRYCACGAGAACACTAGAAAWAAAATAAAAAATAAAAAAAACTTTATTTTCTCTGGTAGACTACATGGGAGAAATTATGCTTTCTTTATGAAGAGTAAACTGAATATTTTTTATTATCAACGTATGTAACCACTCCTCATCCCACGACACACTGCAAATTGCATTATTTGACCCTATATATTTTCGAGTTTGCTTTTGCTCTTTAGAGAAAGAGCAATAGACCTTTTCTGAGAAAGCAGTTTGTATTGCATTGTGGTCTAGATTCAATACAAATTTCTTTTGTTCATGCTGCCAAATATGGCACTGTTTGTACTGAAGATAGACCACAATGCAGCTTGATTTTAGATCTCAGAAATGGTTTATTCGYGTGAGGGGGGACTAGTACTTACCAATGCAAAAGTCAAGACTTCTGTAAAGCCAGCTTGGGCAATTTCTTGTCTTAGTAGGTCGCATATTGTGTTCAACTTGAACTATCAGAACAAAAATATATAATGATTTTTCAAAAGCGTTACTTCGACCTAAACTTTTTATTTACTTTTTATTTTTTTAATTTGATCTACAAATCTATAACTGTAAACTAAATTAACATATTTTCTTTATTTCAAACTGACTGAGATCCCTAAAAAACTCACTTGCTACAGACCTGACATGCTAGCTAAATAGTTTTTTTTTTTTCATTATGATTAGACTGGCATTCTAAACAATTATATAACTTTTATTTTAGAACAGAGGGAAGCATAACGCTATTTGGGACACGCTAGGCAATCGATTTATTAAAAAAAAAAGATTTCTCTCTCATTTCGAAATTCATTTCGAGTTCGGTTGAAGGACTGGGCCTCATCCATAATTCCTAGCGCCGCTAATGAAAGCGCAATAAAAGCTTAACTAACTAATTATCTTGTCATACGTTTCTAGCGTTTAATTAGAGCAGCATCGTTTTTCGACTTTGCGTGAAAAAAATCTCAAAAATTCAAAGTACCTTTTCAACGTGTTTATTTACACCAAATTCAAAGTGAGTCCTAGTTTTATTTAGTCGAATTCCATTCTTTCTTGTTAATTTTCATTCTTTTWCTTTAGAAAAAAGCGAAACAATGCTTTTGACGCGCGTGCGCGCTTTTCGATCATGAGTTTAACTGTAAAGATGCTTCGGGGTTTTATTTTCAGAGATGGCGAATCGTTGGTGGAGAAGGCTTCTGCCTATTTGCAGAAGAAGAAGAAGACAGCACACTCGAGTACGGTGGCAAAGATTTAGGATGGCTTTTATCTACTTTTGGGCTTTTATAACTAGACAAAAACAAAATCCCAAAGAMAACGTAGCTAAAGGTGAGAAATTTAGACTTTGACTATTATATTTTATTACTTTTTTATTTTGTTTAAGATAATTTTTTCCTTTGCTATTTTTACTGAAAAAGTTTTTATTTTTCAATCTTTTTTAAGATTTTGAAAAATTCTAGAACTTTAAGTTGCCATGGAGACACACATGACGTCAAGAATGGCACGCCAATTAAAAGTGACGTCATGCTTTAATGAAATCTAATGATGACCTAATGAAGGTTCAGGCAGGCATTTTACAATGAAAAGACGAGCGCGATTCAATGTCTTATTAAACATTATTTTGTATTATAAAATGCTTTTCTTCATCAAAAAACTTTAACTGGTCGATGAAATCGGTGTGTTGTTATAAACCTACGAGTCGTTACACAGCTACAAAAATTATACTAGTTAAGCCTAAAAACTGTTTGTCGAACTTCAAGGAGGACCAATATCCGTCTCYAAAGCCTTTTGTACTCACTGCACTGAAATTTTTCTTGTTCCTTATAGTGACCAGACATTCAAGTACCGATATGCAGCGACTCTCGTCTGCCAGTTTAGCTCTAAAATTTCTTTTCGAAATGGAAGAGGACCCCTTCTTTAAAGGTAAGACGGAAAAAGGCGGGAAACATTTTAGACGCGCGCGCGCCGGCCACACCTTATAAGGCCTAAAAGCAAAAATATGCTAAACTTGTTTTTGACCCTTCTTAAAAAAACTTCATTTCAAATAATAGGTTACGGTCGAGAATAGGTGCCAAGACCTTACTATTTTCGAATAATATTCCCTTTTCTTAACAGAAGAGTTAAAGAAGAAGAGGAAGAAGATTCAAACTTCGATTAGTTCCTTGTACTTGGAAAAACTCTTCTCCGAAAGTGGTAAGCATTTTCTGACAAGCATTCGCCCATTTTCTAGCCAAAAACTAACTAATAAAAGTTACACTTACGTTACAAGCTTACTGTTTTTAAACAATTTGATAATTTTTTTACTTCAAATAGTAGAAGAGTTAAAGAAGAAGAGGAAGAAGAAAACCTCGATTACTTCCTTGTACTTGGAAAAACTCTTCTCCGAGAGTGGYAAGYATTTTCTGAYAAGCATTCGCCCATTTTCTAGCCAAAAACTAAACCTAAGTTAATAACTTAAACTTCCTTCAAACAGCAGAAGAGCTTAACAGCCTMTTAGAGGGCAAKGCATCATCTGCAAGCAGCAGCAGCYTTTGCCTTTCAAGACTGTTTGACGATGCAGATGGTAAGCTTACAGTACATTCATCAATCTTTTTAGTGTTTTCATGAGACAAGTTTCTCTGAAAATTCAAGAGTTCGCAYGATCAAAAGGATCACACATTCCTAATCTTACTGCTTTTCAACAATTTGATTATTTTTTCMCTCAAACACAAGCAGAAGACTTGAACATTCTCAAGCGCAATGCATAATCAAGTACTGCTTGATCTTCTTGACGATGTTTGGCGCTTGAGGATGTTGCCTTTCAAAGCTGTTTGACGTTGCAGATGGTAATAAGCTTTTAGATCAGTCTTGATAGTGTTTTCATGCGACAAGTTTCTCTGAAAATTCAAGAGTTCACACGATCAAAAGGATCACACATTCCTAATCTTACTGCTTTTCAACAATTTGATTATTTTTTCCCTCAAACACTAGCAGAAGACTTGAACATCCTCAAGCGCTTGCCATCAACAAGCAGCAGTTTATGCCTTTCAAGGCTGTTTGATGATGCAGATGGTAAGCTATTTAKTAAATGTATCAGTCTAATTCTTAGTGTTTTCATGCAACAAATTTCGCTAAGAAATCAAGAGTTGATTTTTACATGATCAAAAGGGATCACACATTCCTTGTTGCTTATAACTTTTAAACTCAGTATCCAAAAATCACCTTAACTTCAAAAGCTTTCAAAGTCTAAATACAATTTCCTTCAATCATATAGATTGCTGGTATTGCGATGAAAATGTAGACAATATCAGTCAGGATGCCAATCCTGCGCAACCATCTAGCGGTAGACCCTGCAATGTTGTAAGTCTTACAATGTWCAAAAACCCTTCTCTGTTCATTGTTATTTCTTTGTTTTGATTCATTCAGTCCCATCTAGTACTCATCAAATATCTAAATATAATTATCTATTCATTTATCATTGATTCATTTTTCCATTCATTTTTGTTTTGTTTATCTATTTATTTATTTGTTCATTTACTTATTTATTTATTGTAGCTAACCTTTCAGTCAATCATCCTTCCTTTTATTTTTTCATTCTTATTTATTCACTCCCTTCCACCCATCCATCCACTTAGCTCTTAACCCATTCATCTATTTAATCATTTATCAATATTGATTCCCTAATTTGTRACATTTCTCAGATGCAGASAGAGAGGTATGAGGCATCCTCTCGCATGGAGTCTGACAGAGGYTATCAAAGATTTCTCCAGGAGGCTGAAGAYGCTCGCCTTGGTCTGATCAACTACCAATTTGACTCTATTGAGGAGTTGCTCATAGAATGTGCACCAGGCACTGTTCCTGAGCACTTGGATGGAGCCATTGTATCGACCGCTCATCCCTAAGAATGTATGAATCTAATGTGGGAAGTGAATGATTTATTTAATCTACCATGTGGAACCAACTTTTGAAACTACAACTATTTATCTCAGTCTGTAACTCTTCCATACCTCAAAACTGTTTCATTGACTAGATTGACAAATAAAAAGATTGAAATACTAATGTATGCTTCTTATACATCGATTTATTAGACTTAATCAAGCTTTCAGACAACTTGTTCATCATGAATACCATGCGTACCTTAACGTTTTAACAAATAAAAAGACTATAGGATAGATATCTTAAAATTATAATTCATGACGGAAGATAAATAGATGAACAAATGAATGAATGGATGGGTCAAGGATGGAAGAAAAAAATCTAAACCTGATCTTGCTAGTTAATAATGGCAAAGTAAATATATTTGGAAGCTGTGAGGACTGAATCCTTTTTTTCTTATCCACAGGGAACTGGTTACAGAATATATCATGAAAATCTACCATGTGGAACAAACTTTTGGACCTACAACTATTTATCTCCAGTCTGTAACTCTTCCATACCTCAAAACTGTAACATTCTTTATGGAATAACTGCTATAATTAACTTGCTGTATTTTTTAATTTRATTAATGATACATAAATAAAATGCATGGATATGATAAAAATAATGACTGATTGATCTGTAATATTRCATTTTTCTCATGATTACAATTCTAGCCTCCTTTAGCACCTGCCCCTTTGTCGTCACGCAACGCTACTTGAGTGACGACACAGGGATGGCKACTGAAGGAGGCTAGAACTGTTAATGACTTTATAATATCATAATACTTATAAGAATCRTGAAGAWTCTSATCATCATCATCATTGTCATCAGTGAATCATTGCTCAGTACCTGGTTACCAATAGTGAGGGTTGATGGGATTGATTTAACAATGTTATTGAAGCCGTATGCTATCGCAGCATCTTCAATGACGTCACAGGCATGAATTACATGTAAGATAATGTCAAGGAAAAGATAATACCATTGCCTCAATACCTTACCCACCCCTCCCTTAGAGCTATCATTATCTAGAATCCATTAGGAGAAACATTCATAAAGAAAGTGTTACTTTCTGTACAATTAATGAGCTTGTAGATAAGCTTATAACGTATGTCTCTATAAAAGTGATAGAAGTTGTCTTTACTTCTTTAGTGTTGGGCTTCCTGTGGAGGACACAGGAAGCCCAACCACAAGGAAATCAGGGTAATAATGTGGAAAAAGCCTCAATTGAATTAACAAACAAAAGGATATCTGCTCTTGTTGGTGGGACTTCAACTTTGACATTCTTGCCATCTTCTGTAACTTCACTCTTRAGACACATTTTTGTTAGAAGTTCAGCCAATTTTTCTGCTGTTTCRCTACCAGGAATTTGATAAACAAAATAGTTATAATTACTTCAATGGATGATGACAAACAAGGTCTCCCCTCTAGTCTCCTCTCGCAGCCGCTAGGAGGCTCGGTCCCAGGTCAATCTCCCCTGGGAGAGACCTGGAAAYGAATCTTGTAACGGCTGCRAGAGGAGACTACATTCCTGCAGGCAGTCCTTAATTCTTGCTTTTAAATGAGGAATTAAAAAAAGCTCAAAACTGTTTCCAAAGAAGTTATAATGTATCGCTATGATGAATATTGTTCTTTTACTACAATCTTACCTTATTCCTACTTTTTTATTAATTTCTTCCACAGGTACTATTTCATGTCGATATTTCAGCTCCTGAAAAAGAGTTAGAAGCATTGAAAAATCAACAAACAAATAATAAGAAAAAAAAATGCACTATAAATAATGTATACATCAGCGGTCCGTGTGAAATGATCTATATATATGTGAAACACCTGTGAACTCAGAGGATATCGGTGCTATATAAATACCACATATCATTATTATTATTATATTATTATTATTATTAAATGTAAGCTGCCATCTACTTACTGGATACACAATGACCGATCCATCAGGCTGTTCAACTTCTACAGATTCCACACTGAATAAGATATTAGATGGACATTGTTAGCTCTCACCTTTCATTTTTCTCTCACTTCTTTCTTTCAGWTATCTTCTCCCATTCGTCCTTTTTGTCCTTTCTTCCTCCCTCTCTTCCTTCTTTCCCAACTTTCTTCCCTCTCCCTTTCTTCCTTTCAGTTTTCCTACCTAYTCTCCTCCTTTCCTACCATTACTCCTTATCTTTCCTTTTCTTATAATTATATCAATCCATCATATCATTTCTTTCATATTATAATTATTTTGATTTTTTAGTTTATTTTTCTTTCTCTCCACCCTCTCTCAACAAACCCATTTCATCATTTTAGTCAATCATTCAGTCAGTCTGACAGCCAGTCAACTATCTTGTCTGTGTGTCACTTACACAAATGGCTCTTTACAATAGACACTGAACATAGTCACCAAGATGTCAAGGACTATTTTAGCCTGTACAAAAACACAAACAATTTTTATTGTATTTGGTATTATACATGTAATTTGTGCCTAAAATACATGGATAGTCCAAAAACATTATCTCCCTAAATGGGTGGCCAAATAGCAACCCACCCTACTCCCCAACTCCAATTTTCCACCCTCTCCTCTCCCTCAAAATAATTTATGACAAAAATAACAAAAAAACATATTTATTTACCTTATGTAGGTCTGTTGCTGTGCTTTCTATGAAGACATTTTTTGTATTCAGTGTGATCTTTGAGTGCTCCCCTGTAGAGAGTTTACATTAAATTATCAATAAAATAATATTGTTAGAAATGACTTCTGACAGAAAGTGCATTGACTGGAAAATATGTCATGACAAATCCTATTTTAGTTGGCACTGACTTAATCTACTGAGCTTTCACTTGCTTTATAGTTAGTTAATTTTAAAATTACAAACTGTTTAATAAGTAAACACTAACAAAAGACGCATAAGTTATGAGTTCTCTATGGAATGTCAAATATTATGTAAGATCACAAAAAGTGGATTACCACATCAGCCATAGTTTACTAGAGAGCAAAATAGCTTGCCTATGATATTATAAGAGACAAATTCTTTAAAATATAGTAGGATTTACCATTGATAATTGGAGGCATAGACAGTACAACATTGTTGCTGTCATAGATGACAGGATAGACAGGCTTGTCTTTGATGATTCCAAGATACTGTTTCAGATGACTCTCACCCTAAAATAAACATCAATGAATTTTATACAATTACACTGTCGTATAAAATTAAATAAACCTCTATGAAGCTCTGGGTTCTTAAAGTGCACATGACACCTTTTAGAAAAACACTTTTATCCGAAAGTTTACACTCTGCCAAGTACTTCTGTGAAGAAAGAAATAGATTTTGAATTGTATTTTCYGAGTTATAGACATTTGAAAATTGAAAATGCAAATGAAGTGACGTCAACTAAGGAATTGATCCAGWCTTYTTACATTGTTTGCGCTATGCTGTTCTTGGTTGAAGAGCAAAAATCATCAATCATAATAATAATTGAGAGCTGAAAATGCATTTTCCAATGTAACAAAAAGAATAACGTTCTCTTTCATGATTTTGTATATTTAAATCATTCCTTAGTAGACGTCACTTCATTTGCATTTTCTAAGTTTCAATCGCCCATAACTTAGAAAATACAATTTAAAATCAATTTCTTTCTTCACAGATGAACTTAGCAGCATTTTCTCTTTTGGATGAGAATGAATTTCTAATGGTGTCATGTGCACTTTAAATGACATGCATCAGCATTTACTGTTAGCTATACTTACAGAGTACAGTTCCATCTGTTCTGCTGCAGTAAACTCCTTTGTCTATACATTAGAATAGAGGTAAAATTACATTATCACTCATCACTTTATCAAAACAGAGTTGCCATGAAGTCAAAGTAAATATCCCATGGCCAAAAGCATCTCTTACATGATTTCCAAACACATCAAAATCAAGATTTCCAAATYTTTAGAAGAAGAAAATTCCTTGACTTTGCCCTGAGCTTTTTATGGACCAAAAACATTTTTTTCCTAATCACATTACACACTTCATATTTAAGAAAACTCCAGCTATGTTACAGAAAGACCCARAATAAACTTAAAATAATTTAAACCACTTCTTACCTGGTTCAGAGGTATGAACTTGATGTCTTGTGGAGGRCGAGCATCGAAAAGGAAAGGTCCTTTGAGGGTATCATAATCATGTGTTCCTATAGCAACCAGGGTTCTCCGGCGACACAGATTATGATGAAGTTTGTCTTGAAGATCTATGAAACTGTTATAGCTTGCCTGTAAGGGAAATAAGAAAAATTTAATGGATATTATAATATGAATACCAAAATGTCAAGTGGTGTACAGTTATTGATACTGTAATTCATAATAAAGCTATAAATGAGTTGTTTTATGAACAAATGGATGAATGAATGACTAAATGCATAATTGGCATACCTACACTGTAGATGATTGGATGATAGAAATGAAAGAATGAATGACAGAGAAAATGAATGAATGAAATTATTAAATAGACGCTTTGTGAACACTTTGTTGCAATGTTGAAGKCTCTACCTTYGTRAARKTGATATTCCTCAGGATGGCAGCAACACAATGTGGCCTTACTTGTGCTGTCTACAAATTTCAATAGATAAATGAAGGTTGAGAAAAACAATAGCTGTAACAACATGCTGAAAATGTTACAGCCCTAATGAACCTTGTGGTTCTAGACGATGATGATGTTTAATGATGATGATGAAAATTGGGATAATAATATTGAATGATGATGATGACAATGATGATGATGACAATGATGATGATGACAATGATGATGTTGAGTTCAATGAATACAATATTGATAAAATTTTTGACAGTTGATATTAATTACATTCTTTGATATTTTTAGTCTTTCCATTGCTCCCTCAGGTTTGACAGCTTTGTAGCGTGGAGCTTGCAATCTAAAACAAATAATAAATATTATCATCATCATCATCATCAACAAATAATTTGTCCAAAGATGGATGGAGAGATCACCTTGACTGTTCTGCTTTGTTCGAATTCAGTGAAGTGATTCAAAAGATGGATTATTATATCTCTCATACTTACTTTCCAAGGAACACCAATATTCCTCTAGAAAGTCCTTCCAGGCACAAAAGATCATACCTGAATAAACAATAAAACAATAGAGCGAAAATGGATCCTATATCACTACATGGGTGGGAGGGGGGTGGGTGGGGAGGAACGAGGAAGTGAGTGTGAAAAGGGGGTGGTTTCTCAGTTCTTTTCTGAGAAAAAAAAGTTTCACTTCTTTACTCAGAAAATCTGATAGGAATATGAAAGATTGAAACCACATACTATATTTCAATAAATGTATTACCTGTTAGCAGGGACATCTATCTTATATATCACTACATCTCTTGGCTTTTCTCCTTCTTCCTCTAGTGTCTCTGTGACCTAGTTAAAATTTATTAACAGTATGTTATAATCATGGAATGGCCCTTAGCTTCAACAATGGCATAAGACACAAGCACTAGTTATTGTTCTAGAGCAGATTTGCTTACAAAGAATGCTACTGTTCCAATTAGCATGCCATTATTGCACACTGTGAAATAATGAAACTAAAAAAAAATAGCCAGTCTGATTCTATTAAAGGTCTAATATCGATGTGCTTGAGCACATTAGCTTACCACATCATCAAGTTCTAGACCAAATTCAAAGCAGAGCTCATCAAATTCTTCATCAGCTGAAAATACAAAATTTTCATTAGATTGTTGCATCAGACAGTATAAGGAAATATGAAGTTTAAGTGGAAATGCAGCCAAAGACACAAGTTTTTTGGTCAGATTTTCGTGAATAACACTTATATTGTGCTACATTTTTTGATTAATCAATGAGGAAAGGGATGGTTCTTGCAGTAACTGTTGACCTAAATCTATGTCACACTTGTGGCTAGTACCTACAAAAAGGGATGCAAGAATGCATGGAAAGGTCACAAATGGAAACCGCTCTGATTAAGTTTCCAAAATAATGTCTGAATCTACATACGTAATTTTTACTTGGCAAAATAAAAACAACATCTAATTAGCCCAGTTTTATAGGTTTGAAGAGGTAAAGAGAGAAACGTTAATCAGCAATTAAGAAAATGAAATTCGAAAATGAAAATGAAAATAAAAACAAAACTTTAAAGTCAAGGAAATATTATGAACAAAAATCAAGTCAATCCAGCTGAATAATAAGTCCGATATATATTTTTACTTATAGAGGTTATATTTACGATTAAATTTAAGTGATGGMAAGCCAAATTTATAAGATTTTGTACAATTTTGCACGTGTGTATRAAACACCGGTAAGTGTTCGTGTCGGGATTGCCAGGAAAGACTTACTGTATGTCCTCCCAAGTGCTTTGAAAAGTAGTTCTTTCTGTATATCAACAGTCGGCATGACTCTTTAGYAAGAACACTGCAAATGAATGGACGAAATTGAGCTTTTTCTTTCCGAGATTTAAGCTTGRTCTTCCACTTGATCTCGAACAGATTTCATCAGAATCARTGACAATGACGAGTGGGGGCTGGTTATTAGTTACTAGTTCCCAGGTTCTTTCGTTTAAGGTTAGGAACGCCTAGTGAATACGGATGACTAAGTAAAGACTCATAGGGGAGGGGGTTGAGGCAAAGAGGAAAAAGTATGATTTAATTTGCTTTTTTAACATTTTGCCTAAAACAAACAAGCAAAACAAATAAACTTCTCGCTTTTCTGGCCRCRCGTTGGAACTTCCTGTAAAAAGCGTGCATAAAAAAACTTATAAATTATAYTGRTTCTCGAACTTCACCSTTTATATGCACCATTTCTATAAGATCTTTTGCAAGTKAACTTTCAAAACATTGTAAAAGCTAYTGAATGAACACAAAAGATGAACAMAAAATTTTAATAGCGCATCGTGACGACCATAACATCAGCGCTGCTCGACAACATAGTCTGAAATTCCCGCCATTTTGCCATTTTAAGATCATTTGCGCTCGCTCAAAGACTCAAGTAYTCACTAAACATTAAGAAACGTTTTACTCCCTCCTTCGATGCAGTTGTTCAAATAAAATTAAAGATTTCTCGCGTATTTGATAAGGGACTAGCTTCAAATTCATCCCCAAAGCTGTGCAAATAACCCGTATATAAAGAAATATCTGAAAAACATGTCAAAATTTGTGTAAATTTTTGATTTGCTTTAGCTAGTTCTAATTCCCCAAAAAATTATTTTCAGATTTCACCTGTAATTCTGCCTTAAGCTTCATATTGCGCAAAGTTTTCGCGTTCTGATATTTTGAGATTATTTTCATGCAAAGAGTGTATGGTAATTTGTAACAAAATATCGGATAATTTACAAAATATTTAGTAATTTTCATAAAATGCGAACTTTTAATTTGATTTATTTGTCATTTGAGCCATAGCCGRTGATCGTGGCTTTGGCGAGTGGGCTCGCATAGTAAAAATGATAACAATTTTATTTTTCATAAACCTATTTACAATAACTTCAATAGTTGATAAACGACTACAGCAAATGAATATCTTGAGCGAAAAAGAATTTTATTTTTCTTTTCAAGCTAAATTTAAAACATTATAACCCGTTTAAATGTAAATTTAGTTTTTCTCTAGGCTATAACCAATCACAATTATCCTCATATCTCCTATGAATTTTTATAACAAAAAAAAAATCAATCTTTCTAAGTCCATTTCATTTTAAAATAATTTTAATATTTAATAATCCCAGATTCATTTCCAAAAGCAATGTTTACCTAAGAATCCCTTTTAARCTATCACGTCTATTGAGTTAATTTATGCCTAACCCAGGATTGAATGTCTATGATAATAATTGGTCCCCTACGTCAACAGAACATGAAAAAACTTGCTATCGCGAACAGGGGCTTTCCTCTTTTGGGGGTGAGATTATTATGCAACCGTCAAAGCTCTGGGTAGWGCTTTTTTTAGTTGATTAGTTTTTCTTCTAAATCTTAAATCTGAGTAGAGGTTAAACTTTGGTTTACGGTATTACAACATATTCAAATTTCTATTTAGGGATTGGAGCTTTTTTTTATAAATTCATGAGCCTCAGACGAGCTAGGTAACGTGAGTTAGTTTCAAGTAATGAACTGAAAAGGGCAACCAACAGAAAAGTGAAAAGAAAGATTTTCTTTAAAAAGGCTTCAAAAATTCAACAAGTTGCAATCAGGAGTTAAATCATAACACTTCCGTCGTGTAATTCAAAGAGTTTTCAACAGCAAAGGTAAGTTTTTTATACTCGATATATTATCTTTAAATTACCGCGTATGATTTCAAAGAGAATCTCCCTAAAAACACAGGTTTTAATGTAGTATTTATTCATACTTATTTCAAAAAGGAACTGATCCAGTATCTAAGTGGTATTAGATAAATGTATATTGAAATATGTCTTTATATAATATAGATCTCCTTCTAAAACGTTAAGATTTAGAAAATATTATAGGTAGTCGAAAAAGTGAAAAATCGATACGACAAATAGTTCGTGTTCTTTGTACATATATAAGCTCTTGACAACAGATTGGTGTTAAACTGTTAACGTACTTTGTGACTCCGATAGTTATTTCCGCGAAACTGTTTATAAATTAATTGTCTGTAATATATAGATTGAGAGAGTGTTAAACAAAAAGCGCCCTTTGGTTCATTAAGAGGAATTAATATTGAGTTTCCGGGCCAATGACATTGTACAGGACGCAGACAAAAACGCTATCATTGCCTTCTAATTTTAGTTTGAATTTTTTGTCGTACTTCTTGAACTAATTTGGGCTCATAGCCGCGCAAATAGGGGGCGAATTAAAATACGATGAAACTATTCCTAATGATCAATGTATGCTAGTTTAACTTGTTCTTTTAAAAAGCAAAACGAGTATTTTTATCATATTTAGTGTTAGTGACTATTATACGATCTTGTGAAATTATTATAATAACAACCAAATATTTCTTCAGCTAATATCATTAATGACTGGTTAACATTGATCAGTGCATGTATGCCAATCTAAATTGTATAAACAAGCTTCAAGAAGACTTTTAGGCAACATATTTACAGCAAAATCATATTAATTCAATGTAAAAACTATGCATTTTCAGTGATTAACACAATTGGCTTAAAAATCTAATAAAATCTGAAAGTATTCAAAGTTGGGTTTTATACTTAAATAGTCAAAAGTGTCCAAAAGTCTGAAATTAAACTGGAAAGTCAACTTCGCGCACATTTAACAAATGCAGATATTTGAATTTTGCACGGCAAAGATAAGATTCGATGATTCAAACCAGGTGGCCTTAGGGCCTGAAATGCATTTCACCCAGTATAGAAATATCCATGGAAAGTCGGATAATTTAACTAGGTGAAAAGGTAATTTCTGTTATGAAGCAACTGCGCTGAAGAGACAATAAACATTTAGGACATTATAGTTTAAAAAGAAAATTGACCGAAGCTTTTCACTAAGCGTTACGAAGGACGACGGACRGAGGGATATGAGCTTATGAAATTTGCATGGGGTCTATGACGTGTATGTATATAACAAGCCTGCTATAATTAAGTATATCATTGAATAATAGAATTATTATGGCCGCTTTCCATAAGTAAAATTATTCGTTAAAAAGTATATATCCGGCATTATATATTGTTGGATATTTATGCATAGGGCATAATGTTTTTATTTATTTAGTAAAAATACAGTCAATTGAAGAAACTGTGGCCACTAACTTATACAGAAATCAATATGTAGGGTAGTTGCTAAGTGAAATATAAACGTTTAATTTTTTTTATAAAACTACAGAGAGTCTACAGATTATGCTTGGATAATCTTTAATAAACATAATTTCAAAGTWTTCGAATGATTTGCGATCTGTTTTAGTGAGAAAAGAGAGAAAATCACATGACATTTAATATCAATAATATACCCGATATAATGTGATAAATAAAATTAAAAAAATATACTAGTAATTAAAATGATACCGACTTAGTATAGATACGATATGTACACCCAAATTCATATACATATTATGCGCTCTCAAAGCATTAAAGCATAGTTAAGCTATTAGTTGCCAGTTAGTCGGAATGGTTGAGTGGTCATATAGATCCAATTAAAGAGAATGCCATTATTCATTAGACCTGTTCAAGAGCAGAAACAGTTTTTTTAACCCTCCCCTGTGGAATAATTACCCTCCAAAATTTTTACAATTTGCTCAGTGTCTAATTTATCCCAAAACAAGATCTCGTTACCAGTCCTCTATCGCGCATCAACCATGACGTAATCATTAACAGACCTCGACCCATTTCTTTTTGGTATATTGCTCGGTCCAACTCTAGCCGTACAAGACCTGACTCACCGCCAGAATAAGTCCCAATGCCGTAGTCTATTGATTTGTTAATGGGAACATCTTCWGTTGTCAAGATTTGATGTGAAAGTGAGAGTGAGATTCGTGATATAACATCAGAAAAAAGAAGAAAAATTGGACGAAAAAGGAAGCGTAGAAGATGAAGTTTTGCTATCTAACCTAAGCTGAACAGGTAAAGACAAAAGAGCGCAAAAGTTAGTGTTTCAATTAGCGCTTTTTAAATACAATATGGCAATCTGAAAGTCTATTATTCTTAAARACAATTAAGGAAAAATTGAGAATAATATCTAAATGTCATAAGTGAATTGTTTCAAAAAGATTGTAATTTTTAGTGTCTTTTCAATGAATTTATGTTTAGAAAGAGGTACCTTGCAGGAAAGTGCAAAACAACGAGTTATTTTCCAAAACAATTYAAAAACGAATTTCAACTTTTTCKCCTTTTTATCTGCGTTTATTTCATCAAAAWTTRCAAAACTAARTTCTGTAAATCAATCTATTTAGCTGTGATTTGTTGGAAATATAATAARATAGAGCAAATCATAGTAAAATAGGTCTAAAATACCGAAAAGATTAGAAGGAAAGTTTACAAAACAAACTAGCAGGTAGACGGGTGTCGGCAATTTTAGAGTGACCATTTTGTTTTTAAACTATTAAGAAATTTTAAAATCCTCTGGAATTCCTATCGAAAAAATGAGAATTTCGAGWCCAGTAAAAACTTTATAGCATCTTTAATTACTGACAAGATTGATAATTTGAAAGATATAACGAATGCTTGTGAAAATGTTATCACCGATATGAAGGTTAGACTACCACTGGAAAAAATCGCGCGCTTTAAAGGTTGTAAATTTGATGTAAATTTAATGTAAATTTAATGTAAGTATCCARAATTCTGTAAATTTAATGGAAATCATTTACATCAAATTTCCAGAATTTTGGACACTTACATCATATTTACATCAAATTTACAACCCTTAAAGCGCGCGATTTTTTCCAGTGTACCCCGCGAGTATTGGKCAAAAGGTCTTCACAGGTGACATTACCAAAACCCATAATTACTCGTAACGTTGACTAAAACAAGCAGACGATCAATGAAGAGCGAATAGTTATCAAATAAGCTTTATTTAGATTCAGTCAAGTTTTAAAGATCAAGAAAATGATATTTAATTCTAGTGCGTGAAAGAAATTCAGATAATAAATTGATGTTGAAGTGCCACACTTCAAAAATCCAAGAAAATCCTACGTGTAGAATTCTAAGTGCTTCGTATATACATGTTATGCAATCGCGTGGACCCTTTAAGGGCAAAACACTCAAATGATTTTAAATTCTAAAAGTAATTTTCAATTTTAAATGATTTTTTTTCATAGTGACTCATACTGGACCCCCAAAAATGGTGTAAATGGAGTTTCTTTTGCTGAAATCTCTTCATTCAATTTTGCTTAATTATGTCGTATATTCGCTATTAAATTATAGCATTAGAGCATTACAAATTTTGGCATTTTATGTGGATATTACAAAAAAAGAAGAAATGTATTTAAGATTCAGCCTCATTGTCACGATCAGGCCCACGCCTTATCTCAACCCCTGGCCCTTTGCATCTTCTCCAAAGAATAACATATTCCAAACAACACATTTACAAAACATTTATTACGGACTAACGAGTAACTATAATTAACGAAGCAATAACGAAGATCTAGACGATAAATAATCGATAACTAATTTACTCAATTTACTATTTGAAATATTTACTACTTGAAGATAGTAATATTAAATCATAATTAATAAAGATATTTTACAATATAGGGGTACTTATAGTGTTCTGGCGGCTTCGTTTCGTACGACGTCGTTTTGAGAATTCTTTCTCGTGTACTTCAAGGTTCTTTCTCTTGTGTTTCAAGATTCTTTCTCTTGTATTTCAAGGTTCTTTCTCTTTTTTTTCAAGATTCTTTCTCTTGTATTTCAAGATTCTTTCCGTCTTGTATTTCAAGATTCTTTCTCTTGTATTTCAAGATTCTTTCTCTTGTATTTCAAGATTTTTTCTCTTGTATGTATTTGATGACTCTGCTGGTCTGGAAATGATTTCCATCAAATTTACAGAATTTTGGACACTTACATCATATTTACATYAAATTTACAATCTTAAAGCGAKCGATTTTCTCCAGWGTTACACGCAGGGACACAGCGGTATTCTGTATATTCCTACTCCCTCCCAACTTATAATTATTATAGATCTAAGCATGATAAGTTAATATTTCAAACTTCTATACAAGAAAAAATTGATAAAGCTTTGATTTGTTATGAACTCCAAARCACTAAAAAAAGCTAGCTTATAAGTCTAATAATGTATTTTTTTTTAAATTTATTTTGTATGCTCAAGAAGTCAAAAATTGAGTTCTTTCTGTAGTCTGATGGCTCTCTAAATTTCACGTCAACTTAACATATTCAGTTTTTTCTGTCAATGTCTTCATTTATTTTATATAAAATCATCTAAATATGACATATCATTATTTATAACTTGCATCTGAAAACGAAAGTTGTAAATTATAAGAGCTTCAGTGCGTATAAGCGTCATCCAAGGATATCGAATTCCAAATGAGCTCTACTAAGACACTCACTTAGCTACAATTGGGAACAAGGCTATTTAACAATGAATTCACTTTTATCATTCTCAGGTTTACAAGAAAATCCTCCGATCATTTGTCCATCTAGTTAAGTCCATTGATGGGGAAGAAGGCATATCAAAAACTTCGCAATGAAGAAGAAAAAGAAGAAAAACCTGTCAACCCAAAGCTTCATGCCAACATCTTCTCCAAGATAACAATCTCATGGATGAACAAAATATTTCTAGTTGGAAGCAAAAGACCTCTTGAAGAAGACGATCTTTTCCCTTTACTTGARGAAGACAAATCGGACATTTTGACCGATAAACTTGAARARGAATGGGAAAAAGAATTAAAGAAAAAAGACAAAGGCAAGAGACCGAGGTTTTGGAAGGCTTTGATGCGGGTGTCACCTTGGTACGAATATTTCTGTATWACCATGTTGGTATTGAGTGATATGGCCAAYCGAATGACATTGCCAGTTTTACTAGGATTTCTTATATCGTACTTAATGGGTGCCAGAGATTTGGGCCCCGCTTTTAAGTATATCTTACCCACAGCAATTTGTATAACATCTTTGGGAAGGAATCTTTGTCAACATCATTACCAGAATAGATCGGCTTTACTGGGAATGAGATTTCGAGCTGCAGCTACGGGRATGTTATACCGCAAGGTCAGTAACAATATATGCAAACAAAATTATGTATTTTAAAGCCCATTTAAATCATATTAAAAGGGCAATAAATGATAGACATTGCATGTAGAAAGAGGCTTAAGTTATTCRACCAACTAAAACGTGTCAATATTCTTTTAGTCCATGTCAGCCCATATAATTCGATCACAATTTATTGATTATATTTTAAAATAATTCAAAATCAACAGATTTTTCGTTGCATTATAACTATTCCACTAAAAATGACATTAAATAATATAATTTATTCTTAAGTTCGTGGATTTTTACGCTTGGGAAGTTTTCAATAAAAGCATCATGCAAATGTGTTGAACTTCCACGTGATATTTGTTATTTAAACCAAGTTACGCATCGCATGACCAAAAATGCAATAAGTTTGAATAACACAATGTACACACACCACGTTATTAAACACCATATCGACACAAGAAGAGCGTGTAAAGAAATTGTGCCTAACAAACCGCAAAAAAACTTTTGTTGAAAGAGCGATTGCTTATTTGGTATATTTCTGATAGGTTTTGCGGATGAGTCAAAGCAAGCTTGCCAAGATCAGTTCTGGTCACGTGATAAACCTGGTATCCAACGACATTCAGCGTCTGGACTTAGCAACGCAAAACCTCTTCGCGTCACTAAGGTCACCTTTTGACCTTGTGGTGCTCGCGATCTTACTATGGACTTTGATTGGCTGGCAAGCTGTAACAGGGCTSACTTTCGCCCTYATTCTTATTCCCTACGAGGCCGAGATGACAGGCTGGGTGGCTAAGCTTCGCATGGAAGCCGCGCGCGTGACCGATCGCAGGCTCGAGGTCATGAATGAAATCATATCTGGGATTAGGGCCGTTAAGATGTATGCCTGGGAATGGCCCTATCGAGACGCTGTTAGAGCAATACGACAGTAAGTACCGTATCTCCTTTTTCAAAACTGATTATATATGTATCTATATCTATTAATTGTTTATACAGCCTTTTGCAAAAATTATGAGAATTGTCGAAATATCTAAATATCATAATATAGATTGCATTATGGGTAATCCCGCGCGTTGCCCTTAGTCCCTTGTCTTTGTAGCTTAGTTTTTTTTTTGGTGACAGACTTATCCGTAGTTCTGAATATTTTCTCGATGTCAACAATGAATTATTCTAGCAAACCCGCGTGTTCCGGACAATATATGGATATGGATATTATGATATTTAGATATTTAGACAATTCTCATAATTTTTGCAAAGGGCTGTATCTGTCGCTATATATATATCTTGTTCTTCGCTGTGGTGGCACATAGCGCCTTCACCAAGATATGATATATCATAGAGGAAATAATTGCGAAGGAGTAAACTTTTTCTTTTCCAACAGTGCTGAAGTTGTCATCTTGCGCAAAATCTACGGTATCCTCGCCAGCTTCGCTTCTCTACAGCACACCTATGATAGCGTAATCTGCATGATCGCTTTTATTACCCTGGTCTTCACTGGGACGCGTCTCACTCCATTTAATATCTTTACCATGGTCGGACTGCTTAGCGAGAATAGACGATCCCTCGTCTATGGTCTAACMGATGGTATGCAGCTTATAGCAGATTGCTTTGCTTCGCTAGATAGAATTGAACACTTTTTACTCATCGAGGAACTATCAAACTGTTCGAGCCGAAAGTCGAGCAGAAGTAAAAATGACGATTCAATAAATGGCGGGCATTATCTAAAAGCCAACGACATCACATGTCATTGGAATGGTCTCAATGAAGCACCTGTGTTATCAAACATTACTCTCGATCTGAAAGAAAGCAAACTCGCCTTGATAACCGGTCCTGTGGGRTGTGGCAAGTCCACTCTTCTACTCACACTCCTTGARGAGCTSATTCCWACAAGCGGGGACATTGAGCGCCGAGGAGAGATCGTCTAYGTGCCACAGACAGCTTGGGTTTTTAGCGGATCAGTACGAGAGAACATTCTCTTTAGCAAGCCCTACGACGAAAAGCGATATAAAGAAACTCTCGARGTTTGCGACCTCGCGAAGGACATMGCAAGACTTCCTAATGGCGATGAAACAATGCTGGGCGAGAGAGGCGCGAGTTTGAGTGGAGGGCARAAAGCTCGCGTGAACCTCGCGCGCGCTGTGTACGCCGATGCAGACATCTACCTTCTGGATGATCCACTAAGCGCTGTCGACGCCAAAGTSGGSAAGCATATATTTGAAAAGTGCATCTCCGARATGCTTGGAGATAAAATTCGTGTTTTAGTGACGCATCAATTGCARTATCTAAAGAACGCAGACTACGTTATGATCCTGGACTCGAAAGGKACAGTGGAACATGAAGGCGCATATTCACAACTTCAGGTAAAATATAAATGTTAATGTTTAAGAAATATTGAAGTGCAGCTTGTGAATCTGGCCTTTGGTYTGATATGGTAGTGTTGGAAGATATGGAAGGCACAAGAGAATTCTCTAGGTTTTCTCGTTGGCTTCCTTGACGTTCCCATCATAGTGCAGATACTTGTCCCTGCCATTAATACAATTCTTTTATGATAATCATATCAAGTTTGTTATGAGTTGAGAAGCCCCCGAACCATGTCTATGAAATCTGRAAAATGATCATCCCCAATCAGCGCGTTGTTTCGCATCAAATACATAAAACATGTGAAGAAGCAGATACGAGCTTATTATAAATGGCACAAAATTCACAGACTTGATTGTTTATCCTCACTATGATGGATCGATCGACTTCACATCGGTTTTTCCACTATTCCTTTTCCGCTGATTGCATATTTTTGTCTTTTTATCTGTAAGGAATCCGGGCTGGACATCGATTCAATCGAAGAAGAACTGCGAAAGGGCAACGAGAAGTACTATGCGCTACACGGAGAGGATTCGGTTTCGAAAAAGGAAAGCAGCAAGCCACAGAAACCTGAAGGAAATGAAGAGCAGAGTGCTTCTACAGGTAATGCATTGGCTTAATYTTTGAATTTGGCAATGAGAGATTACGCGCTTGAAAAATGATCTCGTCCTTAACGCGTTTTTCCTTTGYCAGAACTGAGTGACAGGATTCAAACTTTATCCACGCTATAATGGGAAACTTGGGAAATTATACAAAAGAATTACAACAAAAAGGATAATCTAAATAAACCGCCCTCACCGTCCAGTTCTGATTAAATGAAAAGTGCCCTTATGTAAGAAATTGTGTAATTCATCATCATTATCACAAAATCATGATCATCATCAACAGGCAAAGGTCTAGCTACTACGAGCGAGGATCGTAATGTAGGRACCATATCAGCCGGGCTGTACTGGAGATACTTCCGATCTGGTTTGAGTGCTATTCTTCTTATTCTTTTGGTCTTACTATTCTTAGTAGCACAAGGTAAGTCTAACGTCAAGACGAGATTGTTGATGATTATTAATAATTTGAAATGGTTTCATAAAATGCCTTCATGCAATGATGAAGTGCAATATTCAACGGCCATATGTAGCAAATCGACTGTTTATGGTAAAAAAAAAAGGAATTTGGATTTGGATTTCAAGAAAATTTTAAAAAATGTTTTCACTCCATAATTCATTAAAAGCTATCTTTTTGGCAACTCAAAAGCATCTTCCTGGAATTTCAGTTAATAACCAGACGTGCTTCAAGAACGTTGATCGTCAATTGTCATTTTCAAAGGAAAATGTCAATCATGTATGTTTAAAACCATTTCCCCCTTTGTATTCCAGCTTCAATTATTTCGCCAAATCTTTGGCTTGTCCACCTTTCACGAATGAAATGGGTAGAACAGAAACATAAGATTAATCTCATCATATATGGTGGCTTCGTTGGGGGTGCTCTCTCATTGGCTATTATCAGAGGTCTTCTCTATTATATTACAACGCTGAGGTGTTCTGAAGCATTGCACGACAAGATGGTCTTATCTATTCTTAAGGTATGGTATATCATAACTAATTTTGCGTTGGTGTTCAGGGTAACTATTTTTGGTTGCCCAACAATGTTTTGAAGTTTACAGTTCACAATTATTTCCCTTTTAATCAGAGTAAGGCCCGGTTCACACTATGACGTAAGCAGAAACCGAAGAAGAAGCTTGTTCACACTTGACAGAAGCATGTTCTTCTGCTTATGATGTCCCGGTTCACACTCATAATCTTTCAACATAATCAGAAACAGAAGCAGAATAATGTTTTCATTTTCATCTGCTTCTGTCTCTGCTTGTGTTTTCCCGGTTCACACATACAAAGTACACTTCTTCTGTTTCTGCTTATGTCACAGTGTGAGATGAAACCCTAAASCCTTTTTGATGTTCTCTTTCAGTCTCCAGTTCTCTTCTACGACACAAACCCATCCGGTCGTATCCTTAATCGCTTTTCTAAAGACATCGGTATTGTAGACGAGTTCCTTCCTCCCACTTCACTCTTGGCCTTGCAATATATTCTACAAACTCTTGCTTCTGTCTGTGTGACATGYTCGACGAACTATTACGCAATAGTAGGCGTTATACCTATGGTGGTAGGATTCATACTGATCAACAGGTATGGTATTGGATTTTGATATTAAGATTGGAACTTTCCAACAACAGTACCATTATGTTCCTGTTCTCACTGGAAAAAATTGCGCATTTTTAATTGACGGGATGCAAATATGATATAAGTGTGCAAAATCATGTAAATTTGATGAAATGATTTACATCAAATTTGCATCGCATTTTAAAACATCATTTTGACCACTTACATCATATTTACATCAAATTTACAACCTTTTAAGTGCGCGGCTTTTTCCAGTGTCTGGAAACCACAAATGATTTGACTTTGTCAATATCATCATAATTATCATCATCATCATCATTATCATCATCATCTTCATTATCATCATCATCATTATCATCATCATTATCATAATTATTATCATCATCATTATCACCATCATCATCATAATTATCATCATCTTCAGCATCATCGTGACCAACAGCATTAGCATCATCTTCCATGACATCAACGCAATAATTACTGGACAGTAACATCATTATCATCACATACGCGATCATCATGTTAACATATCCTTATGATATCTGCCCACAGATACTATTTAAAGACGTCACGTGAAATTAAACGTATGGAGGCTATCAGTCAAAGCCCAGTTCTTGCACATATAGCAGACACTTTGGAAGGAATATCCCTTATTAGAACCTACCATATGGAGCAGAAATTTATTGAAAAATTCAACGAGTAAGTAAATGATTATTTTTTGAGACCAAAAACCATGCAGTTCGTAGAGGCCCTATACAAGTTAAAGATGTTGGATCATCTAGCATACATTTGCTTGCACCGTTTTGCAACAAGTTGGATGAAGTTTGTAGGATGGTTGAATCCATGTTTTAAATAAAGCATCTGAGGACGGGACGGCTGTTCAACGGGGTTTGTATTTTTGGTCACCAAAACATTCCCTAATAATCATCTGATCCAGCCATTTTAGTTCGCCAACAACAACGATCTTTATACAAGGTGTATGGGTAATCAAGCATTGCTTTTGGCTTTATAAGATCATGTTACTTGAAAGATTGCAACGTACCATGTTTGCGTTTGCATAGTCGACTGACTGAATGATTTGCAATTGATCATGAAGGATTGTTATTAAACATGAAATCCGATAACTATAATTTTCTCGTCTCATTTCAAATTAGGGTTCAAGATAGACGAAGTCAAATCTGGTTCCTAGTCCCTCACAGTGCTCGTTGGATGGGTATAAGACTGGATATTGTATGCACAGCATTCGTTGCCATTGCAACCTTCACTGGWGTTTCCTTCGAGACTGACGCAGGTTTGAATATACAATTATGTAGCTACAAATAACTCCTCCAAAACCCTTCGATTGCTTCACAGTCGTGTCGGACTTATATTGCAAAGTTTTCTCATTCATTCAACAAAGTTGCCACTATGCTACCTTGAGCTTACTGTTACCTTTCTTTTATAAAGGAACCCTCGGTCTATCCCTTGTCTACGCAATCAGTACAGTTGGCCAGCTACAGTTTGCAATGAGACAGACTGCTGATGTTGAAAACATGATGACATCAGTAGAGCGCGTGATGACKTACACAGAGCTCGAAGAGGAGGCTGGSTACCATATAAAGAAGACCGCACCTGATAGTTGGCCACCTCATGGTGATATCAAATTTGAAAACGTCTGCTTGCATTACTACGAAGGCGGACCCCAAGTACTTAAGGTAGGTTGTGGTTTATTGTCATTTATACAACATGTTACCAGTCGAAGACTTGTTCTAAAGGGTTGCTGCCTCAGGCACCAAGATCTTCCATCAGGGAGAATCCTTCTCAGGGAGTCAACCCACGAAGAAAAGAACGCCCCCAATCCAGTCCAATTAATCATCACCCTCACGAGGGACTCTCCGTGCGACCACTGCGCCCGAGGTGGCTTTCTGTATGGCTGACCGTCAGGAGTTGTCTCTCAGGCGTACGACTCGGATGTGGCCAGATGAATTAACATCAAAATATTGTTATGAAAATTATTTAATCATAATAAGAAAGCCAGCAGAAAGTCAATGTGAAACAACCTCAACGACATTTGTCTATAAACTTATTATTATTATTATTATTATTATTATTATTATTATTATTATTATTATTATTATTATTAAGTTATTTTAATTTCAATTCAAAATCTTACCTCTGTAGAACCTCAACTTGTCAATCAAAGGAGGTGAACGTGTAGGCGTTGCCGGCAGGACAGGGGCAGGGAAGTCCTCCTTAGTTTCAGCCCTCTTCAGAATGCCTGATCCCACAGGTCAAATTATCATCGACGGGGAAGAAATCATGGACCTGAACGTCCAAAACTCGCGACGGGTCATCTCCGTAATTACCCAGAACCCCACGCTTTTCAGTGGACCATTACGTAACAACTTGGACCCATTCTCTAACTATGGTGACGCGGAAATCTGGAACGTTCTAGAACAAGTTGAGATGAAAGATAAAGTAAGAGAGTTGCCAGGAGAGYTGTACTTCCACCTCAGTGAATCGGGAACCAACTTTGGTGTYGGTGAGCGCCAATTGCTTTGTCTTGCAAGAGCRCTGTTGAACCGTAACAAGATTATTGTTATGGATGAAGCSACTGCTAATGTCGATTTTAACACAGACAAAAGCATTCAAGAGACAATWCGTAATAAGTTCAATGACTGTACAGTTATAACGATCGCCCATCGCCTGAATNATTTGGCTTTTTCACGCCTCGCGGCTAATTTTTTTCACATTTTCACGACTCACGGCTAATTTTTCAGCCGTTTCACGGATAATTTTTCTCATTTTTACGATTCACGGCTAATTTTTTAGCCGTTTCACGGCTCACGGTTAACCCCATTGAGACCCTCAAGCAACATACTCTTTATTTCCCTATGGAGATATTCCAAGGTTCGACCCTAAAATCGACGGATGAAAACGGATTGTCAATGGATATCTATTGGATGGATAGAAGTCAACTTAATTTAATTTAGTTAAAATCTAAAAACAAACACGCATTGATCATGACTGTTGTTGAGCCATGTCCCTTTAAGCTATATCGGAGACATAACGTTATAAGTCATTGATCAACATCTTCGCATTTGGAGCGAATATTCCGTACTACCTTCCCAAAACAGTGAAGTTTTCTTTACGTTTCTAGATTATTATGGATTCATAGAAAGTTATAAGTAACACATATCATTGAATTAAAAAATTGTAATTCAATATTGGCAATATAAAAACCGTTCAAACTAGATTACTTAAAAGAAAACCCAAATAATTGATCATACTTTGTCTGTGCCTTTTATTTACCACGGTAGGCGCCATAAAATCGCCAAAATAGATATCACAAGACGAAGTTAAACTTAACTTTTTTTTTTAATGAAAACTTAGAAAAACAYCATGAGTGAGCGGTATCTATYATTTCATTATATGAATGTGGATTTRGAATTGGAATTATAGTTGTTATCGTAATTYTCATAAACAATAATTCTAAATTATATTTCCACCCTTTTGATGATTTGATAGCATTTCTACCAACTTTTAGACAGCAATGACCTAAGAAAATTGATGAGACGTTGATAAAAAATAGATATTCCTTACTATTTTGTGCTGCATGCTGATAGATTCGATTCTAGAGGTACAATGACACCAGCTTCGAATATTTTGTTTGGCAGACTGTAATATGCTTGTCAGGTTTTACCTCTACATTCCTTTTGCAGGTGGTAACATATCCAAACCTTCGAGNTACCTCCTTTGGAGAGGGTACCTCCTTTGGAGAGGGTACCTCCTTTGGAGAGGAGGCCCTGAAATGTAGTGTTTTTGGCACGATTCTTTTTTGATAATTACAAATACTACACCGAGTTAATTCATGTATAAGCGCCTCCACGAAATCTGGTAGCCGCAATATTTTTGTATGAGCGTCGACTTTTGACACGGAATTATGGGTACACGTAAGGATCATGGGTAGCTGTTCACGTGACGTCCACGTGACCTTCAATTRTTTGTCCTCACAGAGGGAGTAAATTATATCTCTACAGAGAAATGCTGTGAAAAATGTTGAATTTCAAAAGCTCTACAGCAATACTGGGTAGATATATATTATATATAGAAATATAAAAAATGGGTGGGTAGAACATTGAATTTACCAGAAATATTTTTTTGTGAAACAACGTGTTTGTTGTTGCTTTTATCTTTGACTGAGATTCGAATGAGCAAAGCGAGCTCTAAAACCTGGATAAAACCAGTTCAACTGGTTCGCTAGCATTCCTGTCAACATTCAATCGGTCGGCAGGTCTATCAATGCCATGTACTTCTGGTCGTTGTGATATTGATTTTCCAGAATATTTAATTCGAGTTCAGTTTGAATTGTTTCTGTTCAGTTCCCGGCTTTGAGTCAAAATTGCAGTTTTTAAAAAATTCTCAGTCAGAGAGGAATATATATAGCATCTAATAATAATATTCGATGAAGGATTAAATTATTTTAGTTAGAAACACGGTCTATTTTAAATACACTGAAAATTTCCACACAATATATTATATAATATGTCCAAAGAACAATAAAAATACAGTGATATCTAAATGAAAGTTTGTATATAAAGCACCCATCGAGGCGCCTTTGTTTACATGAAAGAGAGTGGTCTATTTGTTGGAAGTGATATGGGGTGGGGGGGGGGGGGGGGGGGGGTMCGCATCACGACTTACGGCTAACAATTTGGCTTTTTCACGCCACACSGCTAATTTTTTCTCATTTTCACGATTCACGGCTAACTTTTTAAAGTTAAACTATTGGGAGCTAATTTTTTAGCCGTTTTACGGCTAATTTTTCACATTTTCACGATTCACGGCTAATTTTTAAAAGTTGAACTATTGGGAGCTAATAGGGGATCATAGTATTTAAACTGGAGTTTGTGTACACTAGATGTTTTGGCTAATGTCTGAATACAGATGATAAATATCTCTGGTTTGGTTGTACCGATTTGAACAATATGAGAAGCGATTTAAACAATATAATAGCGACTTTTAAACAATATAATAGCGATTTAAACAATATAAGAAGCTTTATTTTCAATGGTATATGTTAATATTCGAGCTAACTGTGGGAATCTGCTATTGCTATAGCAAAGCAAATATTACCCGGTATTACAAGCATTCCATTGGTTTACGCTATACTGTTATGGTTTCACTGCGCTCCAGGCTACCTGGTAAAGAAGCACACTTCTTTTTCCATTTTATAAATAAAGAAAAAAGATTTTAAATAAATAATGTGTTGGGAAGTTTTATTGATGATCAGGTAAGATAAGTTCAGTTCGGTTCATACGTTGACGCAGTTCAACATTATATAATATGTTACTCCCAATTCCAATCAAAAGAGTTATTCAAGACAGTAGATCGCAAAGGTGAGTTTACTTATATAAATTCGTTTGCTGGAAAGGAACTGAAATAAATTTCTTACCTTGGCCAGGTTATTTGTTACGTAATGTATATCTGTCTATATAAAAGAATTCGTTTCATTTCGATCATACACTGCTGCGCTGTAACATTTTTATGCTTGGTCTGTCTACGCATATATTACATAAAATTAAAATGTAAAATCTGTGTTAGAAAGTAGCACAAATTAATTTTAATTTCTTACCTTGATCAGCTTGAGTATTACATAATATTATATATCTATCTAAAAAAGAATTTGTTTCATACCATACACTGGTGCGGTGCAAAATTATTATGCTTTATATAATTCACAACGCCATTTGAAGAGAGTAAATACCTCAGGTCAGTCATGCAGTCTACGCACATAGAAAACATGGAAAATCCTTTTTAGAAAGTAGCAGGAATGAGTTTCTTACCTTGGGCAGATTGTATTACGTAATCACGGGTTACCAAAAAGGATTCGGAAACAAGGCCTTTCGTTTCGAAAAGATGTAAAAGTTGTTTCTAGAGAAATTCAATTCATGGAAAAAATTATATTTCAAGACGGTTATTTTTATCGGAAAATGAAGCGCTAATGCGCCCCTTCGAAATACAAGAAGTTACTGAGAAAATACTCCACTTTTCGAAAACTAAATCTCGGAATGGAAAAGACAAATACACAAATAGTGCTATTTTAAAGCTATTTTGACTACATACCTAGAAAGTACCGGCAATTTGTTTGAAACTTTGAAGTGAAAGTATGTTTGGGGACGTCACGGTGGCTGTTATGGCCCCACGCATTCTTTTTGAACTTTGCCAAGATTAATAGCTTGTAGATATTCGTGGATTGAAATACTTTCAGAAACTATACAACCATGCTCTTTCTATTTCTTATGAAAGCCGTTCATTTCTCATAACAAACAAACAAACCGCTAAAAGGTTTATGACTTGAGTTATGTTTACTTGCGCGATTCTTACATTTCCATGCCTATAACATTCCTATATTTCCATCCAGACGTCTGATGGAATAAGAAGGGATAATCCGACCAGACTATACTACTCTAAACTACGATTATTTCATTAGTTACCGATGCCTTGAAACTAACAGCGAATTAATATTTTCGATGAGAGACTATACAGTATTTTTTTATGT